TACATGTGCCTAGGTTCATAATAGTTAGAAGGTTTAACCATTTTGTTCCTATTTTGTGAAAATGATGGTTTTTGGAAATTTTGAAACTGGCCTCTTCTAGGTGTTCTAGCATTATTTCTTCTTATTTGAGAAAATTCATTTTTATGCACAAAATCATTTTTCTTAGGTTGTCTACCATGACCGTTTTCATTCCTAGGTTTTAGTCTAGATTGTCTAGTGTCCTTAGGTTGACTATGTTTTCTATTATCTTGTTTTTTAGGTTTCTTATGTTGAACCTTAGATGATTGTCTAGGTGGTGGCTCAACATTATCTTTAGCTTTATTTTTATCAAAACCTATTCCTTCTTTAGAAAAATGCATAGTGTCAAGAAGTAAATTTAAGTCTTTGTGAGGAGTATTAAATTTCTTGACCATGCTCTCAAGTTTAGCGACTTGCTCTTTTAAAGCCTTACAAGACCCACATTCACTTGAAGAACTTTCTGGTTTGTCAGCGCTTCTTTTTCCAAAAAATTTGTTTTCTTGTTTAAGTATTTCATTTTCTTTTTCCAATTTTTCAAAATCGTTTTCAAGTGTAGAAAGACGTTTCTTCAAAGATTTATTTGTTTTAGAGGCGCTAACAAATTCTTCATAAAGTTCATGAAGTGCTTCTTGCATTTCTTCAAAAGTATAAGAGTCGGAAGAAATGTTACATACCTCTTGGACATCGTCGCTTTGATCTTCGTGTGCCATGAGGCAGAGATTTGCAGCTTCGTCCTCCTCTTGGTCGGTTGATTCGTCGCCGGAATCGCCACCCCAAGAGATGTAGGCCCTTTGCTTCTTGAAGCCAGGCTTATCCTTGCCGTGTTTGGCCTTTGGACACCTTGGCTTGATGTGGCCAATCTCGCCACAACCGTAACACTTGGGAGGACCGTCGTGCTTCCTTCCCTTCCGCTCAAATTCCTTCTTCATGAACTTGTGGAACTTCTTGATGACGAGCCCGAAATCATTGTCGTCATCGCTTGAAGCCTCTTCCACCGGTTCCTTGGTAGCTTTGAGAGCTATCCCCTTTTTCTTTTTTTCATCCAAAGACGGGGTTAGAATAGTAGATTCATAGGTTTTAAGGTTACCTCTTAGCCCGTCGATGGTGACGTTAGAGACTCCAATGGATTCATAGATTGCATCGGCTTTAGACCTCCATTCGGGTGTGAGGCTCCGCAGGATTTTCCTCACGAGATCCTTGTTGGTGTAAGTCTTTTTGAGAGCATGAAGATCGTTGATGATCTATCTTTGAGAACCGGTCGAACATGTCATCAATTTTCTCACCTTCTTTCATCCGGAACATTTCGTATTCTTGGGTGAGAAAGTCGATCTTGGCTTCGCGAACTTGATCAGTACCTTCGTACGTCACCTCAAGCTTGTCCCACATCTCCTTGGCGGTTGTGCAACAGGAGATCTTTCGGTAGTCATCGGGGTTGACCGCGCAATATAGCATATTGATGGCCTTTGCATAGTTTTCAATCTTCTTGATGTCCTCGGCATCAAATTCGTTTTCGGTCTTTGGGACCGTGGTTTCTCCCACTTTCTTCATAGGGGTTTCTTCGCCATTTTTGATCACCAACCACAATTGGAAGTTGGTGGAACGAATATAGATTCTCATCCGTTCCTTCCAATAAGAGTAGTTGGTGCCATCAAAGAGTGGTGGCCTAGAGGTTGATTGACCTTCTCCAATTCCTGCATAGAGATTTCTAGAAGAAGAACCCATGATCGCTTTACTCTCAAACGGTTAAGTTTGGACGCGGGTTAGGCTCTGATACCAATTGTTAGAATAATAGACCAACGCTAGAGGGGGGGGTGAATAGCGTTTGATCAAGAAATCGCGGGAATAAAAATGAATAAACGAGAAGTAAAGAGAAAAGAAAGAGGCACACCGATTTTACCCTGGTTCACCACAACTTGTGGCTAATCCAGCCTCCCGAGAGACTATCTCGAGCTACACTACTATCTCGTTAAGCTTAACGGTGCTTAACAAACCCGTACAACTTGAGAATTCGAGTCACACGAACCTCAACGAACCTTCGAAGGAAACAGCCCTTCCTTCGAACAACAAGAGAAATACCTTCTCTTAGCTTGTCAAGTGTCTAAAAACACAAAAAAACACTCAAGAACAATACTCTCTTTTAGAGTGGATAATGAGTAAACTAAGAACGCTCAAGAACACAACACAAGCTTCACAAAAATTGCTCTCAAAAGCTATGAATAATTGAAGAATGGTTTGCAATGAAAGAGTAGGAGTTGTGAAGTAATGTGATTGTGTAAAACAGACCCAAACACCCCATTTTATAGTAGAAAAATAGGCTCCAACGGACCAAAGTATTTAAGGGGTGAATGGCACAATTTGTGGGATTTGATAAAATTTGGATATGCTGAACAAACAGCGCTGTCCTAGGCCTGGACATCGCTGTTCTAGGCTTACGTTTTGAAAAATGGGAAGCAACGGTCATGCCAACAGCGATGTCTAAATTCCCTACATCGCTGTTTTGGCTGTTGACTTCCAAACAAGGAAAGTTTTAGCCTTACATTTCTTCCAACGGTCAGGTCTCTACATCGATGTTCCATAATAGAACATCGCTGTTTAGGTCTGCCTTTGAAGATGGAAGTTTGGCCTGACAGCGCTGTTGCTGGGTCAACATCGCTGTCCAAAAACTTTCTGCCAATGCACTATATTTTTGGCTTAGGTCGGACAGCGCTGTAGGGAAGCCTACATCGCTGTTCCAGAAGTTTCTGGAATTCCAACCTTGGCTCAACAGCGATGTCTAATGTCCAACATTGCTGTTGGAAGACTTAACGCCAAACCATGTTTTTAGCTACCCAGGCCAGACAGCGCTGTTGATTACCTCAACATCGCTGTTGGGCTGGTTTAGCCAGACCCATGGTTGGTTTAGTCACGCCGTTAGCTGATGTCAAAAACGCAAGTTCTCCAAAATAAAAACCAAGTTTAGAAAACATTTGCTTATTGCATTTTGCTAAGAAATCAAGTGAAACATCTTAAAAACCACGTCATTTAGTTGAAAACCACGGCTAGCCAAGTTCGCGCCGTTTCGCATGGTTTTCACTAAACGACCAAAAACGGAAGATGGTTTTTGAGGCGTTTTTGTTGGAGAAATATTTAAATGTTCCCAGTAGTAAAAACCAGTCATAAAAATTTGAAAACCACTTGGTTGGTTCGGGCGCCAAAAACCAATGCCGAAAACCGAGAGCCGAACGCCGGTTTCTGAAAACTGAAAGCCGGATGGCTTGGTTTTTGGTTTGGGCAAACTCCAAGTGTTTTTGGGTAGATTAAAACTTATGAAAAACATTTTTGAGTTTGTAAAAAGAGTTTTGATGAAATGAGCCTAGAGAGCCAAGTTTTGAAAGTTTGTGCCGGTCTTGATCACATTAAGACCGACTCAATACAAATCTAATTCTTCGTTCTTGATTCTGGATTCTTGGTTCTCAAAACATCATGCCATGTTCCTTCGCCTTGGTTTTTGTTCTCTTTAGCCTTGTTATGTCACGGNCAGTCATAAAAAGTTGAAAACCACTTGGTTGGTTCGGACGCCAAAAACCAATGCCGAAAACCGAGAGCCGAACGCCGGTTTCTGAAAACCGAATGCCGGATGGCTTGGTTTTTGGTCTGGGCGAACTCCAAGTGTTTTTGGGTAGATTAAAACTTATGAAAAACATTTTTGAGTTTGTAAAAAGAGTTTTGATGAAATGAGCCTAGAGAGCCAAGTTTTGAAAGTTTGTGCCGGTCTTGATCACATTAAGACCGACTCAATACAAATCTAATTCTTCGTTCTTGATTCTGGATTCTTGGTTCTCAAAACATCATGCCATGTTCCTTCGCCTTGGTTTTTGTTCTCTTTAGCCTTGTTATGTCACGGTGGTTTGGCATTATCAAAACCTGTCAAAGAAACGAACACAGTTTAGTACGACGTAGGCGTAAACTTGTGTTCCAACATTCTCCAGGGCTGGATTCTCTCCACCATCACTGATGAGGTTTCTGATCTAGTTCTTTCCTCTGTCTCTACTGCTTCTGCTCTCTGGATGGTGATTCATGACTTGTTTCACGACAATAAACATGCTCGTTCCATGCAACTCGAGCACCAATTTCACACCACCGTCAAAGAATCTACCCCCATGGCCACGTATTGTCAAGATCTCAGGAATATTGCGGATTGGTTGGATGACGTTGATGCCCCCGTGTCTGAGCACCAACTGATCCTCCAAATGCTACGCGGCCTCCGAAACGATCTTCAAGCTCAAACATCGTTTCTCCAATTTCAGGATCCCATGCCGAGTTTTCTTCAGGTGCGGTCAGCCCTCCTCCTCCTCGATCGGCAGCGGACCCCTCTAGGTGGAACCAGCAGCACGGCGCTACTGGCGGGTCGGGACGCTGGCAGTTTCACCAGCAGTCAGCACGGCGGGGGCGGTATGGTAGCTGCGGCACTCCTCACGGCGGCAGTGGGGAACGTTCTTTTGGCAGCAACTTTGGCGATGGCTCCTTCTACGGACAGCGTGGTGGCTTTGGACGCGGACAAGGGCGTGGCAACGACAACCGCGGTCGTGGTCGAGGGCGCTCAAACGGCGGTTCGAGACAACGACCACCAACGGTAGGGGTGTTCATCGGGTCAAACCTGGACCAGACCGGCTCGGACCGAAACCGGATTGGGACCGAATAAGCGGCATTTGGTGGACCGAGGACCGGACCGATTAAGCTAAGGATCGGCCCGGGACCGTACCGGTAAAACCCGGACCGGACCGGAACTAGACCAGATAAATGCTATTTTTAATGTTTTTTTAAATTTGATTTTATTTATTTAATTTAAAGTATTCAATTGAATAAAAATATTACTACAGCTAATTTTTAATTGTAACATACACTAAACATTGTCAAATTCTTTTGTTTTAATTTTTTTCAAAAACTTTAAATAAAATATAAACTTTCCATCCGTATTACATAAAATATTTTTGTAATTTTTATTTTACATAGGAAATATTCTTCTTCTTACTGCATTTTTGCTTTTTTGTAATATAATTTTTGAGTTTTCGATTAATTTTGGCAAATGGATAATTTTTACTATTTTCATTCATGAGATTGTTTATAATGTTTACTAGTATTTTTGAATTTAAAATATTTAAATATAATTAGAATTGGTATCTTATTTTGAATTGAAAACATATTTTAAAAAATTATATTAAATAATAAAATCAAAACATTTGAAAAACTTTTAGTATTAAAGTTAAATTAATTTTAAGTATAAGAAAAAAATATTAAAAAATACAAAATTATAAGACTATATAGAAAAAATATTTTTAAAAAAATATAATATAACCGTTGCACCGGTCCGTACCGAAACCCGATGGACCGGACCGGACCAGAACCTGAATAAGGAAATAATAAGGACCGGAGACTGGACCGAATAAGGACCGGAGACTGGACCGAATAAGGACCGGTCCAGACCAGTCCGGTCTGGTTTTGGCCAGGTTTCGGGTCAGTCTGGGTCCGGACCGAATAATGCTCACCCCTAACCAACGGACGTCCAAAGCTCCCTACCCCTACCCTGAGGTTGTTGACTGTTTTCTCACTTCCTTAGGATAATCCCCCACCTGGAACACCCTCGGTTTCACCTTACTATCGAAGTAAGATTTCACGTGGCATCGCTAATTCTCTGCCCGGACTCATGCTTCATCCCTTCGTTCTTCTAAGAAGTTCAGCTCGACGGCCTGGTTTTGCTCATTCACTTCCGAGTCATATACCATTTCCCTCCAGGTTGGGATCACCGTCTCAACTGGTGCCCGGGCTTCAAAGCCATAGGCTAAGCCAAAAGGAGTGTCACCCGTAGCCCTTCTTGGAGTGGTCCTATACGTCCACAGGATTCTGGGTAGTTCATCCACCCACTTGCTTCCTTCTGAAAGTAGCTTCTTTTTTATCTCGCTTATGATTGTTCTGTTGACGTTCTCCACCTGACCGTTAGCTTGGGGATAGGCTACACCTTCGTATGCTGAATTCCCCAGGTCTTGAGGAAGTCTTGGAACTCTGCCTCTTCAAACTGGGTTTCGTTGTTGGTTATGATCTGCTTCGGGACCCCAAACCTACAAAGTATATTGGTTCCAACGAAGTCGATCATTTGCCTCCCTTTGATCCCAGCAAGTGGCTCAGCCTCCACCCATTTGGTAAAATAGTCAATGGCCACCACTATCCATCTTGCCTATCCAATTCCTTTCGGCAAGGCCCCTACAATATCGATCCCCCACATGGAGAAAGGGATCACCGAACTGATGGGTGTGTAGTTTGTGGCTGGCCTCCCAGGCATATTCTGAAATTGTTGGAAGGTTGGACACTTGCGCACATACTCCTCACAATCCTTCCTCATCGTTGGCCAGAAATATCCCTGGATTAACGCCCATCTAGAGATAGAGTATGGGCCCTGATGTGTAGCACATATTCCTTCATGTATCTCTTCCATAAGCGCTTTTGCCTCTGCCGACCTGAGACAGCGGAGTAAAGCGCCGTTGTAAGACCGCTTATACAGGACTCCATTATGCACCTTGTAGGTGGGTGCTCTCATTCGCAACAGCCGGGCTTCTTGAGGATCTTCCGGGGCTACCCCATCCTCAATGTATCTAGCCAACTTGTCCAACCATTCCGGAGGATCAGCTGATACCCAGAGCACTTCATCACTGTTGAGACTCGGGGTCGCCAGCTCCTCCACAGTTGCTAACTTGCTTATATATTCTAGTGATTCAGCGCTAAGTTTGGACAAAACGTCAGCTTTCGCGTTGTGCGCCTGGGGTATGTGCTCTAGATTATACTCGAATCTGCCCAACATTTCCAAGGACAAGTCTCGATATCTCTTCATTCTTTCTTCCTTGGCTTCGAACTCCCCACTTATTTGTCCCAGAACCAAGCGGGAGTCGCTGTATACCCTTACCATAGACAC